CCTGCTGTGTTCATCCAGCCCTGCACCTTGTTGTCTCAGATTCACCAGCATCTGCAGTTCCTACTATCTCTGGTTCTCTGATATCCTTTAGGGAGGAAAATCTGCTGTCCTTGCCTGGTCTGCACAACATGTAATTTCAGAACCACTGCAATGTGGTTAACATTTAACTACTCTCTGAAATGGTCCTACCAAGCCACTCAGTTCAAGGGCAATTAGGGATAGGCAACAATGGAGGCTTTGCTCCCATTCAGTAGAGGAATAAAGAAGAGTTATAATGCCCCAGCCATTTGACAATTGGGTGAAAGCAGCTGCTGAGTTCTTAAATCAACTGAACGTAGGATAGCTCCCAAATTTACTCAGTTGTTCCATGCCCAACTAGTCAATTCCAGTCTCTCCCACAGGCTGTGAAGGCTTAAAGCCTGGAGCCAATGTTGCCACTTGAGTAGGCCTCTATTGACTTGCTGTTTTGGGGTTAAATGGAGTTTCCTGTTGTGCTAAGATTGGTCAACATGTGTCATCTGTATCTGAAATGAAATTTACATCTAGTGAGGGAGTATTACCGACTGAATGCCAGCTTAGACAGGTGTTCCGCCCTCTAATTTCTTTATGGAGTGTGCAGATAATTTGTTCAGGTGTTATTTGTTCATCCATACATATGGTAACTGAAAGAGGCCAATTTGTGAAGAACTTGTGTGAGATCTGCTGCTTGGCCTGCTGTGTTCATCCAGCCCTGCACCTTGTTGTCTGAGATCTTTCATGTTGCTCCACAGCAATGGAGCTTAAAGGGACCATCAACCACAACTTACTGAAATTCTAGGATTGAGCTCCTGACCTAATTCCTTTATCTGTGAAACCTCCCTAAACCTGCACACAGCATTGAATCCCGCTGTTTTCAAGGATTTCTAAGGTAGAAGTTTCCAATATTGTTCCAACCACAGACCAACCCTTCCCAATATTTCTGTAACTGCACTCTGTTAGGTCGTGGACTACACTAAGTGAAGTTGAGGTCCCATCAGATCGGAAAACAGTGGAGTGTGACTTCTCTATTCAAGAAAGAGAAAAGACAGAAAACAGGAAAGTTATGTGCCAGTTAACTTCACATCTTTTAGAGGGAAAATGCTAGAGTTTTTTAGTTTCATGGATGAGGGTGTTGCTGACTGGACCAACATTTGTTGCTCATCCCTATTTTATTTTTTATTCATGCATGGGTCATGGGTGTCACTGGGTGAGCCAGCATTTATTTTCTGTTCATAATTACCCTTGAGAAGGTGGTGAGCTGCCTTCTTGAACTGCTGCAGTCTACTTACTGTAGGTAGACCTACAATGCCCTTAGGGAGGGAATTCCAGGATTTTGATCCAGCAACAGGGCAGGAACAGCGATATATTTACAAGTTGGGATAGTGACTGGCTTGAGGGGAACTTGTAGGTGGTGTATTTCCATGTATCTGCTGCCCTTATCTTCGAGATGGAAGTGTTGGTGGATTTAGAGCGTACTTTCTATCCTCCCTAAAGGATATCAGAGAACCAGATGGATTTTAACAAAATCGATGATAGTTTCATGCACCATCACTGGGATTAGCTGGTGAATTTTTGCAGCGCAACTTGTAAATTGTACACACTGCTGCTACTGAGCGTCAGTGGTGGAGGGACTGGAGGATATGGTCCCAATCAAGGGGACTGCTTTGTACTGAATGGATGTCATCATGGTTTTTGGAAGGTGCTGCCTGAGAAGCCTTGGTGAAGTTATACAATACATTTTGTACTTAGTACATGCTGCTTGGTCCTGGAAAGCATCAAGCCTCTTGAGTACTGTTGGAGCTGCAGTCATCCAAATAAGTGGCGAGTATTCCATCACACTCTTGATTTGTGTTTTGTAGATGGTGGGCAGATTTTGGGGAGTCAGGAGGTGAGCTATTCACTGCAGGATTCCCAGCTAAGTCCTGTTTTTATAGCCATAGTATTTATGAGGCTCATCCAATTCAGTTTCTGGTCAAGGATAACCCCCACCTCCACCCATGCCCCCACCCTCCCACGATGTTCACATTTGGATTCAGGGAGAGGGGCTCTCAGCAATGATAATGCAATTATATGTCAAGGGACCATGATTAGATTTGCTCTTGTTGGAGATGGTTATTACCTATTACTTGTGTGACGCGGATGTTACTTGCCTCTTGTCAGAAGTATCACAATACTAGCACTTCCTCTCTGATGGTAATCTGGGTCTACCTATACCAAACAGAAATGTAGAATTTGGAGTAGCTGTAGGCCATTCTGCCCTTTGAGCCTGCTCTACCGTTCATTATAATCATGGGTGATCATCCAAATCAGTTCACTCTTCCCACTTTCTCCACTTATTCTTTGGTCCTTTTAGTCCTAAGAGTTTTATCTACATCTTTCTTGAAAGTCTTCAATTTTTTGGCCTCAATAATTTCCTATAGCAGAGAATTCCCATAGGCCTACTAGTCTCTGCATGAAGAAATTTCTCCTCATTTCTGTCCTAAAAGACCTACCTCTTAACCTTAGTCTATGCCCCTTTGGTTTTCGACTCCCTGGTCATTGAAAACATCCTTTCTGCATCTATCATGTCTAATGCTTGAGAATTTTATAAATATCTTTGAGATCCCCCCTCATTTTTCTAAACTTTAGTGAATATGATCCTAATTGATCCAGTGTCTCCCCATATCTCAGTTCTGCCATCCCAACAATCAGTTTGGTAAATCTTCTTTGTACTCCCTCAGTAGCCAGAACATACTTCCTCATACAAAAAGGTCAAAACTACACACAATACTTCCAGAGTTGTTGGTTTTACCAATGATCTGTAGAGTTGTAGCAAGACATTTCTGTTCCTTTACTCGAATCTTCTTGCTATGACGGTTAGCATACCATTTGCCTCTTCACCACCTGCTGCACCTCCATGCTTACTTGCAGCAACTGGTGTACGAGAACACCCAGACCTTGTTAAACTTCCCCCTTCCCCAATTTATCACCATTCAGATAATAATCTACCAGCCTGTTTTTACCACCAGAGTGGATAAACTCACAATTATCTACATTATATTGCATCTGCCACCCATTTCCTCACTTATTTAACATGTCCAAACTGTACTGAAATTTCTCTGCATCCTTCCCAGAGCATACCCTTCCACCCAGCTTTGTGTCATCTGCAAATTTGGAGATATTAAATTTAGTTCCCTCATCTAAATCGTTAATATATATTGTGAATATCTGGGGTCAAGGCACTGATCCCTTCACTGCCCCATTAGTCACTCCCTGCCAATCAGAAAAAGACACGTTTATTCCTATTCTTCATTTTCTGTCTGCCAACCAGCTCTCAGTCCATTTCTGTACACGATCTCTAATCCCATGAATACTAATTTTGAATGTCGGACCTTATCAAAAGCCTTCTGAAAATCCAAATAAACCACATCCGCTGGCTCCCCTTAACCAGTCCACAGGTTACCTCAAAAAATTCCAGAAGATTAGTCAAGCACAGCTTCCCCTTCCTGTTAGTTTCCACAATAACATTTCACTATTAATACTAATTTCTTTCAGTTCCTCCTTCCCATTAGACCCTGTGATTATTGATATTTTTTGTGATGTTATTTGTGTCCTCCTTTGTGAAGACATAACTGAAATATGTATTTAATTGCCCCTGTTTGAACCAAGCCTGGAATGAGGTCAGGAGCTGAGTGTCCCTGGCAGGACCTGAACTGAGTGTCAGTGAGCAGATTATTGCTGAGCAGATGTTATTTAACAGCACTGTTGATGACACCTTTCGTTTACTTTACTGATGATCAAGAGTAGACCGATGGGGTGGTAATAGTCTGGGTTGGATTTGTCCTGCCTTTTGTGCACAGGACATAATCTGGGCAATTTTTTACATTGTCAGGTAGATTTTTATTCAATAGGATACAGCAGAGAACTTAGAAAATATTAATACAATTGTAAAGAGTCAACATGGCTATGTGAAAGAGAAATCATGCTGACTAATTTGTTAAAGTTCTTTGAGGAAGTAATGAGCAATGTGATTAAGGGGTCTTGTGTGGATGTGCTGTACTTAGATTCCGGAAGAAATTTCAAAGCTGCCAGATCAAAGTCCACAACCCAAGATAAAAGCTCATGGTATATGGGGTAATGTAATAGTATGGATAAAATTTCGGCAGAGTCTTACCAGACCACAGGGCTGCTGTCTCATTGGAAAGAGTCTACTTGCAGTTTAACATGAGGGTCACCACACTTCAGGCAAGGCAAAAGGTAGAGAAGCAGTGTCTTTCACAGTAACCTCAGCTGGTGCAGGTTGGCATCACTTTGTATCACAAACCAGCCACCTAGCCACCTGATCTAATTGACAGGAAACAGTGTGTAGGTATATACAGGTCACTTCCAGTTTGGCAAGAAGTAACAAATGGTGTGCCACAGGAATTGGTGCTGGGACCTCAATTATTTACAATTGATATCAATGACTTGGTTGAAGGGACTGTTAAAATTTACTGATTTCGCAAAGATAGGTAGGAAAATAAGCTCTAAGGAGGATATAAGGAGTCTGCTAAGAGATATTGACAGGTTGAGAGGGCAAAGAAATTGATAGGTGGAGTATAATTTGAGGAAATGTGAACTTGTCCATTTTGACAGGAAGAATAGAAAAGCAGCATTTGTTTAAATTTGAAGGTGGAGGAGGGATCTAGGTATCCTAGTACATGAATCACAAAGTTAGTTTGCAGGTGCAACAAGTGGTTGAGAAGGGAAATAGAATGTTGGAGTTTAGTGCAAGAGGAATAGAATACAAAAGTTAGAGATGTTTTGCTTCAGTTGTACCCTACTTCTGAACAGTGCATTTGTATATAATGAGGAATCCACTCACCACTGCCATCAAGTGGCCACGAGTGGGCGGTCGGCGAGAGTGCTGGATTTTTACTCGGTCTCTAGTTGGGTGAGCAAGAAAGCTTTCTTCGTCGACAGTGACCTGAAATCAAAACACATGACAGGAGTGGAAACTACGCTCTATGACAAGCACATCAGCCACAAATGCAGGAGCAAACACCCCCCCACACACACATGCGTGCACATGCACACCCTCAACTCACCCCCCTCCCCCCCACATTTAAGTAAACACAAATGTACTAACCTCATATACACTGTCCCCCATCAAACACTCGCAGGACAGGAACAGCATGGGGTTAGATACAGAGTAAAACTCTCTCCACACTGTCCTCCAACAACATTCCCAGGACAGGGACAGCATGGGGTTAGAGACAGAGTAAAGCTCCCTCTACACTGTTCCCCCATCAAACACTCCCAGGACAGGGACAGCACAGGGATAGATGTAGAGTAAAATTCTCTCTACAGTGTCTGTGCTATACCATTTTAACACTGTTGAATTCATGGTCTGGGGCACCTTGTTCATAAAGCATGATGTATGTCATTACCTCATCAAGGACACGGTTCTTTGCTCGGCTGAGCGCACTGCTCAGAACGTTAATCCATGACTCTTTCTCCTCGGGGCTCACAGCTAGGAAGACCAGGTTTGGTACCTGGAAGGAGATACATATGGACAGGGTTGACTGAGTAATGTGAACAATATAAAGGTAGATAAATCTCTGGAACCTGATCTGATGTATCCCAGAATATTGTGTAGTAGGGGAGGAAATTGCAAGACCCCTTGCAGAAATATTTGCATTATCTATAACTATGGATGAGGTGCCTGGAGAGTGGCTAATGTTGTACCTTTGTTTAACAAAGGTTGTAAGGAGAAACTGGGGAACTATAGACCTGTGAGTCTGACTTCGGTTGTGGGTAAATTGTTGGAGGTGATTATAAAATATAGGATTTATGGACATTTAGGGAGGCAAAAATTGATTAGGGATAATCAGCATGGTTTTGTGCAAGGAAAATCATGTGTCACAAACTTGCTTGAGTTTTTTTAGGAAGTTACCAGAAAGATTGATGATGGCAATGTTTATTTGGATTTTAGTAAAGCCTTTGACAAGGTTCCACATGGTAGACTAATTAGTAAAGTTAGGTCACATGGGATTCAGAGTGAGCTTTCCAGTTGGATTCACAAATTGGCTTAATGGCAGGAGACTGAGAGTGACAGTGGAGGGTTGCTTTTCGGACTGGACGCCTGTGACCAGCAGTATTCCACAGGGATTGGTTCTGGGTCCTCTTCTGTTTGTCATTTATGTAAATGATTTGGATGAGAATATAGAAGGCATGGTTAGTAAGTTTGCGGACGACACCAAAATTGGTGGCAGAATAGACAGTGAAGAAGGTTTTCTAAGATTATAGAGGGATCTTGATCAAATGGGTCAATGGGCTGAAAAATGGCAGATGGAGTTCAATCTGGATAAATGTGAGATATTGTACTTTGATACAACAAACAAGGGTAGGGCTTATACAATGAATGATAGGGCCTTGGGGAGTGTTGTAGAACAAAGGGATCTACGGGTGCTGGTACCTAATTCTTTGAAGTTTGCATCACATATAGACAGGGTGGTTAAGAAGGCGTTTGGCGCACTTGCCTTTGCACTTGTCCTTTGAGTAAAGGAATTGGGACGTTATGTTGAGGTTGTACAGGACATTGGTGAGGCCTCTTCTGGAATACTTTGTCCTGTTCTGGTTGCCCAGTTATAGGAAGGATATTATCAAACTGGTGAGGGTTCAGAAAAGATTTACTGGATGTTGCTGGGTATGGAAGGTTTGAGTTATAAAGAAAGGCTGGATAGGCTAGGACTTTTTTCACTGGAGCGCAGGAGGTTGAGAGGTGACCTGATAAAGCTTATAAAATAATGAGAGGTATAGATAGAGTCAATGGTAGTTGTCTTTTTCCTAGAGTGGGGGATTTAAAGACTAGGGGCTACATTTTTATGGTGAGAGGGGAGAGATTTAAAAAAGACATGAGAGGCAAATTTTTTACTCAGAGGGTGGTTCACGTGTGGAATGAAATTCCTGAGGAAGTGGTGGATGCGGGTACAATTACAATGTTTAAAAGATATTTGGATAGATACATGAATAGGAAAGATTTGGAGGCGTATGGTCCAGGAGCAGGCAGGTGGGACTAGTTTCATTTGGGATTATGTTCGGCATGGACTGGTTGGACCGAAGAATCTGTTTCTGTGCTGCATGATTCTATGGTGATGACAGTATTACCATAACAATGAAACTGACACCAAACATATAACTCTGTAATATTCCACTGCTATTTATTCATGGTGTATTTAAACTGAAATGTAGATGTAATATTTTGGGAGAAGAATTTATACAGCATCGTTCATAATTTCAGGACATTCCAACATACTATGCAGCCAACGTGATATAAATTTAACATGCAATCACTGTTGTAATGCATTGTAATTTCTGTACAGGAAGTTCCAAAATACAGCCAATATGACAATGGTCAGACAATATGTTTTGAGTGTTGCTGACTAAAGACACATTTTTAAAGACTGTTGTCTTGCACTCATCAGGACAATTTGCAAGAATACTAATTCAAGGGCACAACGACATTTATACTGCATGAAAGAAGAGTACAGATTGGTTAGAAAGTGGATTCTGAGTAGTAGGGATGTAGTTGTGGAGAATGCACCATTTAATGATGAGTGACAGTTAAACTCCAGGCTTTCATTAAATCTTAAACCAGGCAGGTTAAGTCTGATTGATCAGCGCATTAATGAGCCGTGAAAAGCTATCACCTATCTGTTGAGTTGAAATAATCCTGACTGTGCAAAAAAAACATTGACAACCAATTGAGGAATGTCAGTCGGGCAAGCAGTGTGACACAGTAGCATGTACGGGTAACTATGTGTATTAATGCACAGGGCCGTGTTCTTATAGACAGAAAGAACATCTTGCTCTCCAGTGGAGAGGCTGGTGGGAAGGGAGTGTGCTCAGCGGTTTCAAGGGAAACAGATCACAAACATCAGATAGCATTGTGTACACAAAGAGGGGCTCACCGTGTTACCGGGCTGTTTGCTGCGGACCAATGTGAATTTGCTATGGTTCTTCTTGCTTCGGCTTTTTGATTTGCGCAGTTCTTCACATTTCTCGTAGTCTGTCAGGTCAAACTTATCTAGAGCCACCTTCTCATCTTTCACCTGTGAAGTGTAACAGGCAGGATGTGTTGAAGGGCCTATTGAGAACTAAAAGAGGGATCTACCCTGTCTCACCCATCCCTCAAGCCTCAGCACTTTGTCACCATCAAACCGAAACCAAGGAAGCAAAAGTGGTCAGAAGTATCTGTGAAACTGCTGCCTCTCCTCAGTCTTTTCCCAGACACTAACTGCAATGCTTGCCAATCGGTGGGAGTTTAATATTTGGAGACAGCACAAGAGGGCAAGGGTGTAAAGATAGTGTGCAGTATAACGACTATAGGCAATTGACACCTGGTCTGACGCTCAAACCCTCCACACAAATCACAGCTACAAGTGCAAGGCAGAACAACCATATTGCACTGGAATGTATTCTAAAGAATCACACCCATAATAAGAGATAACAAGGTGTAGAAGGATCCAGACCCAAAATGTCAGCTTTCCTGCTCCTCTGATGCTGCTTGGCCTGCTGTGTTCATCCAGCTCTACACCTTGTTATCTCAGATTCTCCAGCATCGGCAGTTCCTACTATCTCCACACCCATAATAAGGGTGTTCAACATTTAGTCACATTCATCATGCTGCTACACCAAAACACCAAACATTCTTTCTCAGGCATTCTCTTCCTTTATCCATCCTCCCTTACTGGGGACCAGCTGTGTATCTCAAATGATCATCCCTCACATGAACATGGACAGACTATTTGACTTAAGGAGTAGTCAAGGCAAAACCACATACACTATCCATGATGGTCACAGGATGGCAATCAGGAATGGAAACTTGATGACTGGTATGGTTGGATGTAGCCATCCTGTAGTCAGAATGAAACTGACATAAGAATGCCATGTGGCCTGAGTAAGGAACTAAGTTTATGACACATTGTGGATAGCCACCTAACTTCTCAGAAATGGCGCCAGATTGTGGCGATTGTTGAAGTTTTTCACTGTATTTTACGATATTATTCACTGTAAAATGCAAGTAACAATGAATAAATCATTTATTCATTCACTTTTGCACCAAAATTCTACGATAGGAATTAATACGGTCAAAGGCTCACCTGAACACAGTTCAAACCCCCAACCCACCCTTTAAGACAGAGTCTGCAGTTTGCCTCCGGAAATGAAACTGCTGTTTTTTCCAGAACACTGCAACATCTTTGGGAATTACTCCCTTTGAAAACTCAAGCCTGTTCCTGGAATTAATACTTAGGACAAAGAAGGGAAGTGAGGAGACATCCTGGGATTCTCTCCCTCGTTAAAGAGAACTCCAGTTTTGAATAACATTTTTTAAAAAACACAGGAAATGAAATATTCATTTTAAAATTGATATATTCTTTCACATAGTCACTGCCACAATCCCCTTGTCCTAATCATTAACAAAGTGCTTATATTTATAAGCCTCCTGTGTCAAACAAGCAGTGTCACTAAACATCACAAATGAATGTTACATGGGATGGAAATAAAATACTTTTGGGGAAATCAAGTAACCAATCTCCAGGCAACATCATCAATGACCTTGAAACAATATTCAGGGCTGACCTCTAACAGCAGTTAAATGGCAAAGTCTGGGTTCATGATCACTCTCCACAGTGAATCATTAAATGTGGGTGCATGTGATGGGTTTACTGACGCTAGAAAGGATCCCTAGTGGAAGGAACTCACCCTCCACACACCCATCAACTCTACATTTCTCTTTCTGTTGCTCTCCATCCCACTATCAACAAATTTTCCCTCTCTCTACTGACAGGTGCCACCTGTCTACCAACAGCTCTCTTGTTCTTTCCTGGTTGATTCCCTACTGATAGCTCTCTCACTGTCTATTGACAATTCTCCACCTCCTCTCTGCTGAAAGCTCCCAACTGACAGCTTGCTCACTGTCTGCTGACATCTTTCCTACTCTTTAATGACAGTGCTGTTGATCTCTCTAGCCAGCTATCCCTCTCTCTCTCTGTGGACAAACAGCTGTCCCTCACTCTGTGGACAGCTCCACTCTCTATGACTACTCTCTCCCTATCAAGAGCTCTTCCTCACTGTACCAAAACTCTCCTCCTCTCTATTGCCCCTCTGTCCACTGACAACACTCTTTTAACAGTGCTCTACTAAAAGTTCTTTCCTCTTTACTGACACAACTCCGTCTCTCTACCTCTCGAGTGACAGCTTTCTTCCTCTCTGCTGACAGACTTCCCTTCTTTACCAACAGCTCTTCGTTCCTTCTGTGGCAGCCCCCATCCCCTCTCTTTACAGAAAGATTGCCTTTAACAATTGCTCCTTTCTTTTCCAATACCACCTCCTGAATCTACTCACAGCTTTCCCTTCTTGAAAGACAGCTCTCCCTGTCTCTACCAACAGCTCCCTCCTCTTCTAACCACTCACTCTGACAGCGTTCCCTTCCTAACAACTGCTTCCCTTCTCTACCTATGCTTCCCCTCTCTCTCCCAATATCCCATCCCTCTACCGATATCAGTCCCCTCTTTCCCAACTACCAACATTCTATCTTAAGACATGTGCACACACAGCTGCTCCAAGTGTCTGCAAACAGCAATCAGTGTGATAACACTATTTGCAGCTTTGATCTCCCATTCCAGACCTTGTTGCCGCACACATACGTAGGTGGTCACGCAGAAGAAAGAAAGGTGAGCACGACTATTCCCCTTGTCTCTTCCGACCAATTCCTTGTTCTCTTCTGATATCTCCCCCTTTCTACTGACAGCTTTTCTCTACATAGACAGACAAACTACCCCACTTCCTCCTAGCAGCTTCCTGTCTCTAGCAACAGCTCCCTCTTTTACTAACTCTCCAACTCTCTACCAAGAGCTCTGCCTCTTTACTGACAGTTCACTGTCTATACAGACAACCCTCTCCCAATGACAGCTCTCCCACTCTTTCATGATGGCTTCTCCCTTCCACTGACAACATTCCCCCTCTCTACAGTGATGGTTTAACATATATTGTTATTGTTGGGTAACATGAGTTCTAAAGTAGACGGAAATAAATTTTTAGTTTTAGTTCTATGACGGTGATTGGATTCGAGGTCAGAAACATTTTTTATAGTATTTGGACAAAATATCAAAAAAGCATGTGGCTTTTAAGCTAAATGACCAGATAAACCACCTGGTGAGATAATTATAGAGTCATACAGCATGGAAACAGACCCTTCAGTCCAACCAGCCCATGCTGACCAGATATACCAATCTGACCTAGTCCCATTTATAGTGTCATACAACAAGGAAACAGACTTCTCATCCAACTAGTCCCAATCTGACCTTGTTCCCAAACTAAACTAGTCCCACCTGCCTGCATTTGACCCATATACCTCCAAACATTTCCTATTCATGTACTTGTCCAAATGTCTTTTAAACGTTGTTACTGTACCTGCATTCACGACTTCCTCTGGCAGTTCATTCCACACACTAACCACTCTCTGTGTAAAAATATTGACCCTCATGTCCTTTTTAAATCTTTCTCCTCTCACCTTACAAATATGACTCCTAGTTTTGAACTCCACCATCTAAGGAAAAAGAGCTTTGCTATTCACCTAATTGGTGCCCTTCACAATTTTATAAACCCCAAAATGTCACCCCTCAACCTCCTACGCTCCAGTGAAAAAAGTCCCAGCTTGTTTTTATAAGTCAAACCCTCCATTCCTGGCAACATCCCGGTAAATCTTTTCTGAACCCTCTCCACTTTAATAATATCCTTCCTATAGTAGGGTGACCAGAACTGTACACAGTAATCCAGAAGAGGCCTCACCAACATCCTATACAACCTCACTTCCTATACTAAATGGTCTGAGCAATGAAGGCAAGTGTGCTAAATGCCTTCTCAACCACCCTATCTACCTGTGCCTTTTAAATGTTGTAACTGTACCAGCCTCCACCACTTTCTCTAGTAGCTCGTTCATATATGCTTCACACTGCATGAAAACGTTACTCCTCAGTTCCTTTTTAAATATTTCCCCTGTCACCTTAAACCTATGCCCTCTAGTTTTGAATTACCATAGCGTTTACAAATTTGAGTATTTCACACATTTTACCTACAAACAGAGGTCAAAGGCCACAAGCAGATTTAGTTTACAAGAGGAAAACTACTGTACAAGGAGGACAGCTTATGTTTGGCAGTCTCCAAGCCATCAGAGCTGGAAAGAAGTCTTTAAGTTGTTTTAGCAGTCCAAGTAGAGCTTTCCTTAGAGTTCAGTGAGGAAGTTAGTTTGTTAGCCCATCTGTGTCTCTGGGAGAGATAAAGGGAATCACATCTGGTGACTGTGCAGAAAATTTTTAAAAATGTTTGTGACCTCAATAGTTTAATAAGAAAAGAAAGAGTGAAGATAGTAATGATACTTCAGCGGTATTGAGTGTCTGTAAAGGATATTGCTAAGAAATGGGGTTGAATCTTTATTTTTGATGTTTATGATAAAACCTTGTAAAATTATCTTATAAAAAAATTGTTTTCACTTATTTTGGTTAATAAACATGTGTTCTTTTGTTAAAAGTATACCAACTGCTTTGTGTGAATGCATTCAGTGACTGATCATCATGATAAAAAAAAATCACAAAAATAAAACTCATAGTCTGTCAAGCCAGGTTTCATTCTGGAAACTGATTTATCTAATATTACTGTCAGCTGGAAACTTATCAGTGTGGGAGTTCTTGGCAGGATAGAAGTTAATTGAATTTAAGAGGGGTATTTGAATCTTTTAAATAAATGAATACATGCAGGTACTGAACATAAAAATGGGCTGTTAATGTTACAGGTAATATCTGTGACAAGAATTGGACTTTCAAAATGTCTAACTATTGGTAAGATTTTTCTGGGAATAGAAATTATAACAGTAGATTATTTGAAATCTTTGACTAAGGCTACTCAGAGAGTTAGCAGATAAATTTAAGACAGAAATAAAAGCAAGATTTTGTAAGGATGAAATACTTAGTTATGCAGCATTTAGACTTATAAGTAGGGAGACCTGAAATGGATACGTCAGCATGAGACTTAGCTAGAATTCAGTTAGAAA